CCCCCCCCCCCTCCCCGACAAAGAGACAGTGTCCCATATTGGAAGAGGAAGAGGTTTTAAATTGGTATATAAGCATTGCTCTTCTTCTGGCTCTTAAAGAGTTGAGAAGAAGGCAAGCCTCGCGCCGCCGTCGTCGTCGTCGCTCGGCTTCGGAATTGGATTCGGATTTGGTAAAATGATCGATTGATTGATTAATTTTTTGGACCAAATCTATTTGTTAATAGTAAATATTAACAGAAATATTATTAAGTATATGTTCTAATAACAGAATATTAAACGTTTTTCCGTTATCCGTTTTTAATTTTTCAGTTGTGTAACTGAAAATTAACCTCCCTCTTCAATTCCCGGTTTATTATTGCATAAATAGCCATTTATGTTATGGCATTTATGCTATGGCCGTTTTGCATAAACAGCCATTATGAAGAGTTGCACCTCTTCAGTTTTCAGCCCAACATTGGCTATAAATACAAGTCCATTCTCCCAAATTTTCCATGCGATTTTCTGAGTTCTCCTCCTTTCTTCTGCATACTTTTAACTTCAAAGAAAGCAACAGTAGGCGTGATTTGCTACCAAATTTTGTGTTCACTGAAATACTGGGGTTTGAAGTACCACTAAATCAGTGTGTAATTCGTTCTATCCTGGGAGGAAATAATCCATAACCTTGGGTACTATGAGGGGATTAAATTCCTTAAGGAAACAATGTGAATTCAGTGGGCTCGGATTAACTTTTGTTTCATTTACATTTTCTGTTTATATGTTATTTTATCTTTTCCAAAATTAGTTTACAAATATAATTTACTAACAAGAATAATCGAAAATTTAGCTTCCAAGGTATTCTTCAAACGTTACTCGCCAAATAGTCATATGCAATAATTTATTTGTTCCAGTTATATATTTCTTCTTGCTTCTTCTTAATATATAATGCATATTTTACCCCAACTTTGTATTTCTTGTTATTTATTCTTTAGCTATAATGACTACTTGTTCCAACTTTGTATTTTTTCTTTTTTTTAAAAACACTTGGTTGAACTCCAATATTTTGACCGAATAACAATAGTTTTAGCCAAAATAATACCTAAAAACCTATCCTAAACATGACACCTTTTATTCAATGCATACTTAAATTTTGTGTTGTTTTAATTATTTCTCTGAACTTGCCTATTTCTTATCATTTACCCCTTGACATTGATGAGGCAAAAAGCATAAATACACTCTATTTTGAACGCGTGAGAGTAAGAAAAATCGAAAATTTAGCTTCCAAGGTATTTTCAAGCGTTGGTTAAGTCATACACAGTGATTTATTTGTTCCAATTATATATTTCTTCTTGCTTCTTCTTAATAAATACTGCACATTTTAACCTTGTATTTCTTATTGTTTATTCGTTAGATACAATAACTACTTGTTCCAACTCTATATTTTTTTGTTTTTTTTTCCGAACCAAATCTATAAAAAACACTTGGTTGAACTCCAATATTTTAACCGAATAAAAATAGTTTTAACCAAAATACTGGAGTTCCAACTGCATATTTCTTTTTGTTTCTTCCTTCGCCAAAATAATATGTATTTTTTCTGTTTTGGTCCAATTCTGAGAGAGAAAAAAAACTAGCTAAAACTCTATTATTTTCGTCAAATGAAAAATCTTAACTTAAATAAAGGAGTTCCAGCCATTTTTTTTTTGTTTTTATGAATTTGACCCAGAAAAGATGATTAAAAAAATTAATGAATTAAAATAGGATGTATATAACCTTACCTCTACCCTAGGGGGCAGAGAGGCTGTTTTTGATAGACCCTCGACTAAAGAAAAGATGAAAAGAAAAAGTGGCGAACAAATGAAAAAACAAATATTAAAAAGGACTCGCACTTCAATTGTTGGAAAGAGAGGACAGAGCACCAGAATAAGTCCAAAAAATCATCTTTTATTCTTCCTTAAGTAGAACTAAAAGCTCATTAGCTTTAGCTTAAGTATATAATGAGATCTTGATTGCACTGCACACATATAAGAACCCAAGTTTCAATTCCAAGTGAAGCGGAGACAATAATGATCATTCTTTTTTATAAGCGTGGTGTCCGGGCCAGCTTGCACGCACTTAGACTAATTCCACTGGATACCTGTCGCCTCCTATCAGCAACATGTACCAGGTAACTCTATCCACCAAGGCTTGGATAGATGGGAAGAAATTACCTAATGTGTTTTACCTCTGCTGAGATTTGAACCTGAGACGTCATGATTCTCACCCACTTCATTGACCACTAGGTCACACCATTGCGTGCCAAGAAAATAATGATCAATAATAGGTCAGTAACCAGTACATAGAATCATAACATGATTATTATCTGTTTCCTGAGCTTTGAAGACAAGCATTGGCAGATATGATCACATTGGCTGAGACAAAAGGGAGGGCACCATTTGTCTTCTTATGTAAATTGCTTCAAAAGTTGCTAACCATGATTACAAAATGTAAAAACTTGCATTTTACTCAAACAAGTAAACTACTTGTACCACAACTCATCAGTAAAAAAATAACGTGTTTTACCTTCATGAAGTTCATTCCAACTTCAAGATCAACACACAGAGCATGGCGTGTTTTGAACGTGCATCGCCAGCATTGAAGGAGATCCTGCTCAGATTATACCGGTAAAAAGAACTAGTACTTATTATTCTTTCTGCTTCAAGTCATGTTCAAGATTTACTTCTCAGTAAAGTAGACAAGTATTCTTTATTGTAGAGGTTACAGGAGAGCATTTTGCTAGTTTAAAACATATCAATCTTGATTCTTGAATAAGTTAGAAGAATCATTTATTGCACAATGACAGCTGTAGTATCAGCTGTAATCATATATTATCTCAAGATCTAGCAAATAATGCGACAAATGTATTCAATACCAGGAAAAAGGTTGTTGAGATAGCGTCGTTCTGTCTAATATTTGAGTTTGTTCCATCTTTCATGCTAGGTAAAAATAGTCCATTAAAAGCATGAACCACATCTAGTAAACATTACTTTCACGAACATCTTTAAGATTGCATTACTAAAAGCTGAAATAAAATTCATAGAAAAAGCTGGAGAAATTTCATTGGATAAGGTAAAGATGAGAATGTACAGAGCATAAGGCAATTATACAGATTAAGCAGGAATCATTAGGCAAAATATAATTAAGTTTCGATTACTACTGGATTGGCTTACATTGCGGATGAATAGAAATTTATGTGTAGTTATGATGTGGAAGCAGATATGACATTGAGTATTTGCAGAAAAAAGGGTTCCATTTGGCAGACAAGATAAGGCATTGTACAGGTAGAATTCCATTCTGGGACTACATTCGCTTTTTGCACTATTGTGCAACGTTGCTTTCAAAAGTCCAGTTAGTGACTGCAATATTGAGCAAATTTAAGGGGATACCACTTTTTGAGACCACAAGCCCGGTACACTGGACTTACCAAAGTGCTTGAAAGAGATGAGCCAACCATCATAGCTCTAAGCTTGTGCTAAGTTTGTCCCGCTGCAGAAAAAACATGCTGTTATTTAGTTCATAGTCATGCAACAAATTAATTGGAACAACTTCCTTCTATATAGTTTAGCAACAAAATGGACCTCCTACAAGTTTAGCAAGACGAAATAGACCTCCTCGTCTAGTTTAGCAAAGCAAAATAGACCATGGCACTCAGTAATTGGCAAGCTAAGATTAGGGTTTTTGTGGAAAAATAGTACAGAACTTGAATTCATTGAATGTTTTTCCTCTAGAAAGGGCATGAGCGGCAATACCCTAGAAACAGTTCTCTGACCTTATCCATTTTAAACAGGAGATTTAACGGATTTCATTTGGTGGTATCTAAGATCAAATATCAAAAAAGGGAGGGGATAGGTGCTTCTTAAACTGGAGCTGAGGTCCATTTAGATCAAATATCAAAAAAGGGAGGGAATAAGTACAAGTAATTCACTGTAGATTCAACTAACTGAATTTTAAGCAGTCCTCGAATGTTTTTCTTCCTGGAGTGAATCTTAAGTTCTTGAACAACGCTGACGTAAAAAATAAAATTCTTATAATGAACATGTTTTTCTTTTCCTTGAGACAGAGATGAACGGACCATTGATGTCGACCATCACCTTCATGAATTTGGGTCCGTTGAATATTACATTCAGGTAAGAGCAACAAGCAACCACAAAGCACACATTCCATAGCGGGTTGAAGTTCATGGCACAGAAGAACAGTTTAAGCAACTATTTTTATATGAAACAAGGACTCCAAGTCGAGAAATTGCATTTTATTGCTTTAAATTTTGCTGACATTTTAACAATCCCAAATATGTGTGTTAAAGTTTCCATAACTTCTTTTCTTTTAAAAAATTTTTATATCAGTCCACGGTGTCAGATCCTGATCGTACCTACTTATCAATATCAACTCCAATTCTGTCTCAAGCATTCTTGATCTCAACTCGGCTATCACGTTACACTATGGAGAAGGTAAAGGCAATTAGTGCTGATGTTCTGGAGATCATGGAACCTCCAAAAGAAGGATATCAGCTGACTTTACGACTCAATTTTGCTAGAATGCCGCATGGTAAACGTTAGAAATTCCTCACATAAACTCTGCTCTCCTTCTCTATTTTTCCTGTTTAAGAAACATCACAGAAGCAGAATGATAGATCATGCAATAAACAATTAAATGTGGCGCCACAAGTGAAAAAGAAAACCATCGTGGTCAGCTACTTCCACGTTGTTATGCAGAAGATAAGATGAAAGTGAGCCATGGGTAAGAACGGCAGCCCGCCCAATAAGCTCGCGCAATGTGCGGGGTCGGGGGAAGGAATGAACTATTTTGGCTCTTATGTATGCAGCCTTAACCTTTCATTTCTGCAAGAGGTTGTTTCACAAAATCGAGCAATGGATAGTGGAACAAAATTGAACTTCTTTCTAGTCAAGTAGTTGGAGCTTTGTAAAGTTATAATCACATCTTTCTTGCTGCTAGATAGAGTTTCACTTAAGAATTAAGATTAACTCTCACTGCAGATGCAAAGACACTGTACAGTGGAGGTTTACTGAGCACTTTTAATTATTTATGTCTTTCGGCAACAATAAGCTTCAACAGGTTCAAGAAACTACAAAAGAAAAAAGAAAGGACGAAAGAAGGAGCTCTATGGAGAGTCATGTCTAGAAAAATTCAAAACAGGGATACACTAATGTTCGCATAAAGAAATAAGACTAGTAATCAAGTTTAATGGAAAAAATTAAAAGGAACCGAAGAAAATAATACCTGTATTTAGATACACGTTTCAGCTGGCCATTACTGAAACCAAGCCCATCCATTTCAAGTTCTTCAAACTAAAATGAGCAGAGGGTGATTAAATGTACTGAAACTGGGAATCATTTATTGTAAAACACGCAGAACATGCTTTTTATATCATTTTAACAACCTGGATCAAGTAAAGGGTCAAAATAGTCCTAAAAAGACCAGAAAATATATAGATGCACGTTAAAACAAACTCAGATATATTATTGTTGCTTCCAAGAGAGATCTGAATTATCTGCCATCTTCATTTTATGCTGTTAAGACAATTCCTTTCTGGATATTCTAATTTAAATCACCAAAATATTTACCCCCTTCTGTAATGAATCAACCATTTACCACTATGATAATATTACGCAGTGCAGTGGTGCTCATAAAATTGTGTTGTCTCGTCTACATTTCAGAGTCGATTAAAACGATCACAGACATAGCTGCTGTGCAAGGTGTAATTCTGAGTTCTCAGCTGGAAGAAATGCTGATGAATGTGAATTCACAAGATGTGGCTCAAGGGATGTACAAACCAATCAAACTTGTTTATCACCCAAGAGAGCCGTTTTATGTCATAAAACAGGTAATCCGCATTATGAGATAGCTTTGTTCAATCACTGAAAATACAACTTCAAATTTAAGGACAAGTAAATGAACCCACTATGCAGATAAGTAGCACTGCTCAATGCAAGACTAGCTAAGTTAACATTACCTTGGCAGTAGGTTGATGCACATTGGCAGAACATCAGTAAAGGGATTAAAATGTATTATGGGGCAGAAATAATGCTGCAACCCTTTTTGAGAAAAAAACAGTACATTTACATGCAGGTAGAAATCCCAAACCATGGTCCAAAAGTGACAAAATTATTCTACAAGCAAAGGGGAAAAAATGAAAGTAAGAACATCATATTTTCTGATACCAACAAATTTCAAGTCCATTTCAAACTTTAATATGCAGAATGATTTATTGTTCAAACATTAAAACCTAAAATCTTACAGTCTTGAATTGCAAACTCTACTTGCAACAAACTTAATTGCAAGTGTTATATTCACACCTAATCTATTAGCACAAAATCAAATTTATACTATATGGTAAGTACACACCTTTTGTCATGCCAATTCAGGAAGCTGTAAAGGAAGAACAGACTGCAAGCATTTATGTTAAACACACTGGAACATGTTGAAATCAAACTCTAAACTAGGCCATATAGTACTTCCACAAACTACAGCATATAGCTACAGGTTTATGTTAAGTTCAAAATATGTATGAACAGCAACTAAATGATTGACTTTGGTTCAAGTTGCCATAATAAATTGCACTTGAATGAAGCGAAAAAATCTAAAAAGAAAAAGAATGTAGAGAATCCTTCCTAAAATATGAGATTTGTTTGAGAGAATACAGCTTCATGCTTCTTATATGTAACTCCACATTTGTGACAGCCCCAAAAAATCACGGCAGTATTCCCGATGCGCTTTAAGGAGAAAACGGATGTGATTATAGCTACAGCTTTCTTCCAGGTAACACAATTTTATAACATGTATTACTTTGCAATTTTATAGCACGTATGGCTTTGTTCTATTCAAGTGTTCAGGATAATTGACAGTTTTCCCAGCAGGAACTCATGGATGTTGCAAATTCAAAAGCATGTGCTAAGGCACCCCATTGCATCTGGTCCCCTATTCCACCTCCTGAGCTAAGAGGAGAAGCAATTGAAGACTTGAGCACAAATGGAGGGTTTGTTTCTTTTGGTATCAACTTAAGTCCTATTAGCACCTCACGTCTATACATAAAATTACTGTTTCTTTAATATAAATGAAGCATTTGATAAAAGCAAAAAAGAAAATGTTTACGTTACTTAAGCTTTGGAGAAAAAAACAGACTCCAAGAACTTCCTAAAAAATGAGTGATGATATGAAACGGACATTTAAAAAGAGGTCTACTTGTAAACGTAGAAGATGCATATATTAGTGTTCCCTTGACTTCTCTAAATCTTGGAATTGGAGTTGGCCTGATAATTACCTTTTTTATCATGGGATTCACAGATATTACTTCACGCCACATTGAAGGCAAAAGGCTAGATAAGACTGTGTGGAACCTTCTGAACTTTTACGCATTTGTCAAAAATCATGTAAAGGTAAAAATCCTTCTATAGTCATGGCATTAAACCTACAAACATCTTATGCTAAATTCTGCATCAAACAGAGTACTCGAGGATTTATACAAAGAAGGATGAGAACATGTCTGAAGAGCCTAGTTGAGGTAAACAGCAGAACCTCTCTTATTCTCTGCACATTAAGATGTCATTGCAAAAATATGCCCAGTGATGAACTACTATCTGATTGCAACTTGCAGGTCTTACAGAAAACAGGCCTTCAAGATGACCAACAGATTAAAAAGGTGAAAGGTATGAATATTTGATTTTGAGGTTAACATATATCTGAATGGAAAGCCTAAAGAGAAACTAACAACAAGAAAACAGTATGACAGGATTTTTGATATTTATGCGCATATAGTAGAAGCAAAGACTGAGAAGAATTCTGTGGATTTATCATATGTTTCATAATGAAAGACCATAAGTTCTATTAGCTTGAAGCCACTTACTTCTAATTTTTTTTCTTTCTTTTTTCACTGTTTTTCTAACTTTAAACATCCATTTTCTTTAACTTTCTCCTCATTTCTTTCCAAACAACATTTATGCAGGATACAAACGCATGAAAAAGTTGGTAAATTTCTCAAAATCCAAAATATTCAGATATAGAAGCGATTTCACCAGCAAACTTAAGAGGATTCGTTCGAGATTAAAAATCCATGGGTTCGGCCATTTTCGTCGAAAATGGTTGTCATTCCCCAACTTCTCCTCCAAGACAAAGTATAGAAAGCTGGAAAAAGATACTTCTCCTCAACATAATTAATGGATTCTGCTTATGGTCAGAGTTTCTTCACAAGGGACAAAAATATCCTTGAGTCAGGATAGTTGGTACAATCCAGCACGTAAAACACCTCTGTATTTGTCACCTTCTCAAATGTTGGCAATACATATAGATACCGGTATACTATGTACAAATATTAAAGCACAATAAATGAGTTGGTCAGGAGTTGTTTTATACTTCTTTCACATTTTAAATCCATATTTCCATATTACTCTAGCTGTTAAGTAAGAAAGTTTCTCTTCTATTTGATGATCAACAGTTTGAAGATCAATGTTTAGTGCAACTGTCGTTACCTTCTTACCATCGAATGGGAACTTATACTATTCTACTATTAATTGGCCATTAGCTTTGATTTCCTTTAAAATAAACATCAAATAATTGAGCAGACACCTCCACATCCTAGAGTCAGAGATGCAGTACGGATGACAAAAGTACGTAATGTTTTTCTCTTCTTTCCTTCTTCAGATCATACAAAAGTACATAAAGTAACTTGATATCTGCAGTACATCAATAAATACAAGAATTCTGAAAAGAAAGATAAATTGCTCAGACTCTTGACACACTTGAAATATATGAAAATGAGGTCTATGAACAAGTATTTTGATGAGCGATCACATTTAGGAACTGAGGCACATGTATACAAGACTAGAAGTCAGCCTCCCTTGGCATTGACATGAAAGGAAAAGCGAGAACTCTAATAGTAGCAACAAAAAAAGAGAGGTAAAAGGGAAAGAATTCTAACTTGTAAGAGTGACACATAAGATTTTGATTTAGGATAACACCAAGATAAATTACTCAGGAAAGCAGAAAACATGGTTCGCTCATCACTGTTCCCTGTTTGCGCTGTATGGACTCTTCGGGAAAAGGAACTCCAGATGCTTTGGAGGAAAATCCATTCCTCCTTATAGCACCAAGGCTTTTAACGGTCTTAGCTCATTGGTAAAAATTTCACTTGCAGATGACGTAAATGAACTTTTGTATTTCATAGACTCCCCACATTTGAAGAAGGGATGGCCTTCCTTCTTTTTAAAATTCACAGCAATCCGTCGTGCAAAAATGAAGATACCTATTTTGTTTTTGCTTTTCTTTTTAGTACGATGATACTTACTTTAAAGACAAGTACGCAGTTTGACTCAAGAAGTTCTTTCTTTGGCTACCAGCATTTTGCCACTAATAACCAGAATGAATATAGAAATATAGAAAGATAACAATAATATAAACTATAGGCACTCCTTTTCATTCAATAGTAGGAAGTATCAGAAAGGAAAACTTTCATTCTAGTAAGGTACATTAGAAAAGCATTGAAGCTCAAGTGAAACAAAAGGTTACACTTTCCTATATAGGACAAAACATCTGCAAATTCAAAACTTACAAATGCTGCTCTATCAAAGAACATCAGGAACTTCTCATTCGATCTCTAATTCAGGAAGCGGACGCATCAACACGCCCTCTGATCCAACCTGTGCTAGCAACGGTCCACTCGTATCACCACATCTCATCCTCTTACTCTTATTCAACAGTGCAAAAAACCCCAAGCTCATGATCATCACCACGACAACGTGCACTATAAATAAAAGATTCATCAATGCAATTCCCCTCAACTTATTCTCATCAAGATCACATTTAACATCATTCTTCCCCTTTGCCAACGCCGCCAAAAGATTCCCACACCCTTTTACATTAAAAAAATCAGTATATAACAACAACCCCACTTGCAAAACCCAAGTCCCTTTCAACAAAAGCACAGAGTCAAACAAAAACTCCACAAAAAAAGCACATGGATTTACTGCTAAACACAAACAACAACCAGCACAAACAAGTCCCAATTCTCCTAAATGTCCATACACATTACCACTAAGACCAACCAGTCCTTTCCCATTCATTAGGAATTCAACAGCAAAAGAAACACCAGCAAAACAGTAAACAAAACTATCAAGAATTGCATAAAGGTCAAAACTTTCTTTAATTATGATGAGAATTAAGAGTACCCAAAAGAGGAAAATGACTAAAGATTGCTGCAAGAATGAGAATTTATAAGTTATGTTGGTGCCTGAAAAAGCTAGGAAGAGAAATACATGAGAAAATGAGGCAATGGGAAGGATAATGAGAAGAGAGTATAAATCAAGATTTTTCCATTTGGGTTCTGCGAAATACCACGTTCTTGATCTGTAGAGTGATGGGTTTTTAAGGTAATTGGAAATGCAGCAAAAAAGACGGCGGATTCCTAATGTAAAAAGGAAAAGGAATGCTGAGAAATGGGTAGCTAATGACATTTCAAAGAGAAATGCGTATATGTGTATTGGATTTGATGAGATTAAGGAGAAATATGAAGAATTAAGATTGTTTCAAATTCATTAATGGTGATGTTTTTAGCAAAAGTCAATACCTGAAGATCACCAACGCCGGCTGGTGGCAAGGGGCCAAATGAGAAAAGAAACCTTAAAATTTGAAAAAAGTGTTTATTATCAATGGACACCCCAAGTTTGGAGTTATGCTATTCTGCCCCTCCACCTTTTAAATATTATCCAAGGCTCCCTCCATCTTGAAACGTATTAAAATGGACACCCCGAGTTTGGAGTTTTGCTACTCTGACCCCCTTCTTTTTAAAAGTTATCAAATGCTCCCCTTCATCTTGAAACATGCTAAAATTGAAATACTTGACACATCATCTATAACACTGGGAGTATAATTTAACAAATAATCTTTACTCTAATATTCGAAGTTGTACTTATCAATGTTAAAAATTCTTTTGTTTGGATGGTAAGCTCATAAGCAACTCAAAGAAAGAATCAATTAATTTTTTGGCTTCATTCAGTTAAAATTAGTACACTGACACAACACTTCATGTTTAAATGTTTGACTTTTAACTAATAAGATAAAATAATAATAAAAAGCTTTACAATTAAAATAATATTCCTAGAAAGCTAAAAGCCTTCCGCCACTTTTCCCTTTCCCAAAATTAGTCTCCAGCAAAAGAAATCCCAATTCCTAAGTCCCCAACCCCCACTTTGCTCGTCCAATTCGTTGGCTTCCGGTTCTCACGCTCACCTCTTCGGTTATTCTCTTCAAAGCACGGTTGTTCATCGGTCACTACTCTACAGCTACCATTGTAAATCTTACTTACTTCATCTTGTTTACTTCTTAACCCTATGTGGGTTGTGGCTATTTTTTTCTCCATTAAATACATATTTTTGCTCTGCTTTTTTTTGTATTTAGTTGGATTTTAATGTTCTTGCAAAACTTTATTGTCACTTTTGATATATTTGTTATGTATTTCTTTGGTTTTGTTGAAAATCCTATACCACTTAAATGGTTCCATTGTAGAAATTAATTTCGTGGCTAAAAGAGAAAGAACATCCCCAATATTTTTTACCAAGAAAAATTAAAATTAACTCCATTTTAACAATAAAAAGTATTTGGGAAAGTTGAATAATTTTTATTGGCTAAGCTTATTGATGGTATAAAGTGAAAATTATTCTATATTCCATAGTGAGAAGTAGAAATTATTCTATATTCTATAGTGAGCTACATAGAAAGCTTTCTCACTAGAATGAGCTTTTATTTTATAGGAATTGAATTTAGATGGATAAATTTGTCACAAGGTTGGACCATTCTCAACCAAGTCCTAGTTGTTAATCCTTGAGCCAAGCGCATGCTAATGTTTTCCATCTTATAAATGAACTCGATTTGGGGTCACTTAAAGGCGATCCAGGAGAAAGAATACCTATTGCGGACTATTACCCTCGAATACGATCGAATACGAGATGAAGTAAGGGAACATTGCATTCAACAAGGTCCTTGCCAACCTTTCAAGCATCAATTTCCCAAAACTCAAACAGGAGGAAGAATGCGTCAATTTGTTCCAAGTTGGTTCAATGGCCAATTTTCTAAATGGTAGGAGTATAGTGTGAAGAAAGATGCGGCATATTGCTTATGTTATTATTTGTTCAAAAATGATTTTATTCATGAAAGTGCGGGAGAATTTTATATAAAGAATGGTTTTAGGGCTTGGAATAAGGGTCTTGAAAGATTTTGTTTACATGTTGGTGATGTTAATAGTATCCATGATAAATGTTTCAAGAAGATGCTAGACTTATCAAATCATCATCAATCAATTCAAGCTGTTTTTTATAAGCACTCCGATAAGTTGAAAAGTGAGTATCAGATGCGTTTAGAAGCTTCAATTTATAATGTGGCAAGACTTCTATTATTGTGTGTATTGGCTATTAGGGGTCATGATGAAAGTGAAACTTCAACTAATCAAGGCCTCTTTCTAGGATTCTTACGATGATATGGGGACAAACATCCGGATGTGGAAAAAGTCATATTAGAAAATGCTCCACAAAATGATACTTTGATTTGCCCTATGATCCAAAACGATATTATCAATGTTTGTGCAAAAGAAACAATAAAGGCTATAATTGGATACTTGAATGGAGATTACTTTGGTATATTAGTTGATGAGTCCAAAGATATCTCACACAAAGAACAGATGCCTCTTGTTTTGCGTTATGTTGATAAGAATGATGAAGTGGTAGAGCGATTTGTTGGTCTTGTCCATGTTAGTGATACATCGGCATGCTCATTGAAGGAAGCAATCTACTCTTGCTTTCAGAGCACTCACTAAGTCCATCACAAATACGTGGACAAGGTTATGATGGAGCTATTAACATGAGGGAAGAGATAAATGGTCTCAGGACTTTGATTATGAAAGATAGTTCATCGGCATATTACATTTATTGCTTTGCGCATCAATTGCAATTAACACTTGTAGCTATTGCTAAAAAGCATTTGGATGTTGAAGACTTCTTTTGTCATGTTACTAACGTGTTGAATGTATTGGAGGATCTTTTGAGCGCAGAGATTTGCTTCGACATCTTCAAGCTAAAAGTTTGGAGCAATTACTTGAGTCCAGTGAAGTTCATACTGGGCGAGGACTAAATCAAGAACGCGGGCTTCAAAGACCAGGTGACACTCGTTTGTGATCACATTTCAAAACATTAGATAACTTTATTGTTATTTTCTCATCTATTGTCCGTGTGCTTGAAGTGATTAAATATGAAGGTTCCGCCTCAAATGAGAGAAATCAAGCAAAAAAATTTTTGAGTGAGATAACAACATTCAAATTTATTTTTATGCTTCACTTGATGTTGCGAATCAAGCAAGAAAGGCAGAAAATGGGCCGCAAGTATTGGCAATGTCAAATGAGTTAAACAAGATCCTACAAAAAGGGAATCAAGATATTGTTAATGCCGTGGAGTTTCTTAACATCACAAAGAAAAGATTTCAAGATTTGAGAGAAAGTGGATGAGAATCTTTACTAGATAATGTTTTTCTCATTTTGTGTTATGTATGGCATTTTGATTCCCAAGATGGATGAATCTTATTTTCCTGGAAAGTCGAAGCGCAAGTCTTTCGGTGTTTATTATTCACACTACTTGCGTGTTGACATCTTTTATGTTGTAATTGATGTGCAACTTCAAGAGCTTAATGATCGTCTTGATGTAGTGAGTAGTGATTTGCTTCTCGGGATGGCTAGCTTGAATCCAGCCAATTCTTTTGCTAATTTTGATAAAGGTAGAATAATGACTTTAGCAAAATGTTACCCAAATGAGTTTGATAAAGTACAGATTCGAGACTTGGGTTATCAACTTGATACTTTTATAGTTCATATGCGAGCTCGTAACCCCATGTTCTCCAACTTACAAGGAATTAGTGATTTGCAAAAGCATTGGTTGAGGCAAATCTTGTGGAGACTTATTCGTATGTTTATTTACTTGAAATTGGCTGTGATTTTACCTGTTGCTACCGCAACTGTGGAGAGAGCATTCTCATCCATGAAGCAGATAAAGAATGAAGAACGGAATAGCATGAGTGACCAATATTTAAATGATTGTTTAGTTTGTTACATAGAGCGTGATATATTCACAAATGTAAGTAATGATGTCATTATGAACGTTTTCAAAATATAAAAACTCGTCGAGGATAATTGTAAATAGATGATGTACATTTATAATATTAATATTATTGTTGCAAGTTTTATGGTTGCGTCAATTAGTTATAGTTATTGTACTTTTTCGTTTGATCGGTTTGTCTATATAAATAAAAAAAGATGAATAACCCGAACAGACGCCCAAGTTGATCAAATCGATTAGCTTGGCACCCGAAATCTCCAAATCCTGGATCAGCCTCTGATCCAATGCAAAATTTTCCAAAAAAAATAAAACGAAAAGTTGCTGGTTAATTGCACTTTCAGCACATTTGAAGCGAGCACTTTAAGCTGCAAATGTTGTATTAGCCTTTTGGACTTGAATGATTGATCAAGGAGCTTCTATTTCTTCCACAAATACTTGCTTCATCAACATAGTCAATTGTAACAAAATATGGCAGAAACAATTTTGAACACTTTTATTATATATATCAAAAGAATATATGTATATGAATGAGAAAAAATGTATAAAATATTTTATGAGATATTTAGATATTCTCTACATGATATTTACTTATTAGAATAGAGTTTATTTTCATACCTCATTGTAAATAGTCTACTTCTATACAAGGAACACTATTGTATATGTATCACTTAAACAAGTCAATAAGAAATTTTTGCTTTTATTTTCGCATGATATCAGAATTAGACCCATCACAATTATTAATTTAACCAACATTGGGCCTTCGAATCTAGGCATGGGCATGCATCGAGGCGGGGTGTTAGAAATCCACATCGGTTGAGTGAATAGGTTAGTGTCGTCTTATATGGTCTTAGAAAAGTCTCATTTGAAGTTTAGTTATGCCCAAAGTCCATCTTATTTAACTATTTATACTATGGTGCATGGCCAGCTAGACAAATGACACATGGCAAGCAGGGGCGGATTTAGGGAGGCGCAAACACCCTTCGCCGAAAAATTACACTGTATATATAAGGCAAAATCTGTTTTTTATCTCTACATATTATGTTTTGAACACCCTTAACACAATCCAAAAGTATAGTTTAGTGGTCAAGGGGGTTCAAAATTTACATAAGTTCATGGGTTCAATTCCCACTAGCTACAAAAAAAAATTTTTGAACCCCCTTCGTAAAGATCCTGGCTCCGCCACTGATGGCAAGTATTCCCTAACCGAATCCACAGTTACCTTTAGTCCCTGGAGGTGAAGACCTGAGATACAAACATCATGTAAGTATTCGTCTATCATCCCATAACACCCTTTTTTGGGGTTAAAGGTTATAATCTCCTTTCTCACTTTGATTCGTTTCCAAAAGGCCGATGTGACGACCCGGCCAGTCGTCTCATGAATTACCGCTTCGTTTCTCCCATTTCTGCTTTTTTATTCTTTGTTATCCGTGCTTTGTGGTATCGGGTTGGTCGGATCGAATCCGGAATGATTTTGGTAAGGTTTGAGACACTTAGTCTCTTTTAAGGAAGTTTAAGTTGGAAAAGTCAATCGGATGTTGACTTATGTGTTAGAGGGCTCGGATGTGAGTTCTGATGGTTCGGTTAGCTTCGGGAGGTGATTTATGACTTAGGAGTGCGATCAAAATGTGTTTTGGAGGTGCGGAGTAGATTTAGGCTTGAATTGGCGAGGTTGATATTTTGGCGATTTCCGGTTGATAGGCGAGATTTTGATATAGGGGTCGGAATGGAATTCCGAGAGTTGCAGTAGTTCCGTTGTGTCATTTGGGATGTGTGTGCAAAATTTCAGGTTATTCGGACGTGGTTTGGTTGGGATTTTGATCAAAAACGAAATTCGGAAGTTTTTTACATGGTTGATTATATGTGAAATGCATATATACATTGTTACATCTTAAAATCAGGTAAATGGACCATAATCATTTTACCATGTTTCTAAGTTATTGGATTATCTCACACTATTAAATCAAAAGTTTTAGTACTTACTTTTAACCCATGCACCAAAAGTTCAGTACTTTGTGACGTTCACACAAATTTTTTGGTTTTTCTTTTTTGAAAATTTTATTTAAATTTGGACAAAAATTCTGAAATAATAATGTGATTGTTTGTCGTTTTTAAGAAATTCTTTTTTGATTCCAAACTCAAGACTGCATTTAAAGGACAGAAGCATGTTTTCTTAGAAATTTCATTGGACATACTACTATTATTATTAACGGCTGGAAATGCTACTTTTTCACATGCATAAAATATGAAACAATAAGACATTTATGACTTTACGAATACAAATTCAAATTTCCCACCTTGAGTCAAACTGTGTACTCCTACTTGTCTTCAAAAGTTTTGCACCGTCCAATTGTCAACTAATTGCATCCAAAGGAATTCCAAGTTTCTTGGATCATACACTTCAATTGTGTTTGGACATAAATTTCAGTTTGGGTTGTTTTTAAAGTTTTGTAGTGATTTGAGTGATAATTTTGAAAAACAGTTTTTTGCAGTTTTTCAAATTTTCGAAAATTTCCAAATGCATCTTCAAGTGAAAATTGAAACTTTTATGAACAAACGCTGATTTCGAAAAAAAGTGAATTTTTTTTGAAACAATCTTCCATCAAATTTTATGTCCAAACGGGCACTTCGTGTATAATCCAAAACCATAGAGTTCCACAACAGGTTTAAATATAGGAATTTTTACCTCCTATAGCAAAGGTTAACACCTTATTTATTTTAAATAAATACCATTTAAAAAATTATATTTTATAGATACCTTTTAATGTTTATAGCAAAATATCTATTTTTGGTTACCTCCTACCACTAAGCCACTAAATACGCTATTTAGTTACACTATTTTCTTTCTCTCTCTACTTTGATACATCCCATTCTCTTCCCCCATCCCATTAAAATTTCCGCTCTCCTCCTCCTTCCCCATTCTCGTCGATCTTCTGGCACTGCCAAAAGTATTCCCACATATTCTCAACTAAATCGGTCTAAAACTCTTTTCAACTTGAATAGTCACGCCTTCGTGATTGCAGCTATCGTCAAGCATAACTCGAAGGGCTTAAGTTGCTGCCTCCATGGAAATCACTTAGAAGTTTCGGTCAATAATCTTCTCACCAGTCGAAAAGGCATTCCAAACTACAGTTCCAACCAAGTAAAGCCCAACTGAAACCTTAAAGACATCATCACTTCCTCCAGGTTTGAGCGTGCAAGATCTTTGAAGATGGAAGGACTATTTGGCCACAAGGCAGAAATTAGGGTTTGTTCTTGAGCAAAGACGACGGAGTTTGGGGCTGAGCAACTTGATTTTCTGTTAATATATTTCAATGTATTTTCAACGTATCATACTGTATTTTCATGTATTTCATTGTATTCATTGTCTTTTTTTAATTGTAATTCAATGTATCTTGCTGTATTCCGTGTATTTCACTGTATTCACTGTCTTTTTTTCCATTGTATTTCATGTATCCCGTTGTATTCTATGTATTCATATTTTTTTAATTAATATAATTTATGTATTCAGATGTATTAATTAATTTCTCTGAAGATTGCTATGTTTTTTGATTTTTTTCCAGTTGAGAATCTTTTTTATAACCGGAAATATAAATTTTGTGTGTTATAATTGAGTTTGTTGAGTTATATTAGGAGTCTATTATGTTAATTGATACACTTTCCGTTTAAAAATAGTGTAATCTCCTGTTTCACGCCGTGAAAACAATCGAATATAGTCGAATACAGTAATTTATCCGGCTATAATCCCATGTTTCACGCCATGAATACAGTCGAATACATTCGAATACAACAACTGATTAGCTGGACTTCCCTGATTCACGCCTATTTTTGCTACTGTATTCATGAATACAATAGCTTAAATACATCAAATACATCATATAACCACAGAAAAGGTATCTTTAATCCGTAATATAGCAAATGGTATCTATATATGGCTAATTACTACTAAAGATGGTGCTTTAATTTCTCTTAAATATATAGCTACAGTTAAAATTTGTGCCAAATAGATCTTTCATCCATTCGATTTATTTCACGTGTCTTAATTTGATCGACACAAAATTTAATACTCCATCCGTTTTAATTTAGATGAGTTAGTTTGACTCGGCATGGAGTTTAAGAAAAAAGAAGAAGATTTTTAAAACTTGTGGTCTTAAAAGCTTAAGGGGTAAAAGCTTTGTGGGCCCATGACATTTATGGGTTATAAAAGCTTCCCATTAAGGGTAAAATAAGTAAAATGTAGAGTTTAAAGTTGAATTATTTCCAAATTTAGAAATATCTCATTTATTTTGGAGCTAACTAAAAAGGAAAGTACCTCATCTAATTTGAAACGGAGGGAGCAATATAAAAATGACTTTGGAATGTTGTAATCTTAAAATAAATGTGTGCACAACATTCCAAAAGTACCTTTTGAATCTTGTGGTTTTAAAACTATAAAGTCATTTCTATAAGGAGGGTGTCATTAAAGATAAAATAGGAGTGTTATAATTAAAAACAAGATACACAAAATGTAAAAAAAAAAAAATTATAAGGAAAAAAAGAAAAGAGATTATGAAAAAAAAAATTCATGTAGTGGAATTTGAGTCGAACCTACCATTTCTCCTCAAGTGTTTTGCATCGTCCATCCGTAAACAACACATGTTCAAATTGTTTTTATCAGTTTAAAATTAAAAACTCGACCTTGCTACACGTCAAAATATTGAGATGCACTTAAAATTCGATAAATAATTTTGTTTCTATTAGCAACTATGCCTCAACTTCAAATATGGGATCGGCTATATGAATCATCATGGTCTATTCAATCTATTTAAGTCCGTTTAAGTCTATTAATCTAATTAATATTATAAAAAGTTTAATTTATCTAACACTAAAAATTCTTTACATTTTGTTGATATACTAGTATATGGGTACGTGCGTTGCAGGTGTGCCATCTCAATGTGTATAAATTTTTAACATCACATAAATATTATATTTATAATTTATGCTTGAGTTATAAAATAAAAATTAAAGAAAAAGTGTAATGATTATTGGCTGATCCTATTTAACTACTTAATAAAGGAAGAAATTATTATTCTAACCTATAGAATTTCGCTAATGACATTAGTACTTTTAATATAGTATATAAATAAATCTTCAACAAAACCAAAAACTCTTGACCAACATAAGGAAAATAAATTACTTATGCAGATTTTTTTTAATTTAAGTTCACAAAATTCATTACTTACATTTTCTAGAAAAATGTTCAAGCTTCAAAATTAAGACTCATAATTCGTGATTTTCTTGATCGAACGGCCACCATTTTACATGGATGTTCAAGATTGTAATTGTGGAACCCACACGGAGAAAAAGATCCACTAGAAAAGAAGATACAGATCTCCAAACAGATGGGATGAAAAAAAATATATGTGGACCATAGAAAACAAGAAGAATCTTATTATTATTATTATTATTAGCTGGAAAAATCAAAGTACAATAAAAAAATCAAGCCAGCCAGTACAACTGTATGGCTCACAATATTCCATCTTCACCTTCCTTTAATTTCCTTCACTAGCACTCAATAAAAACCAAAGGCTACCAAGTTTACAACCAACCCCTTCTTCATAAACCACAAGAAAATCTTTTATAACACAACAAGATCTAAATCACAACCACAACAACAAAGAACCCTTCAATATTGAAGATTTTAGTAGCTTGTAGTTGAAAATTCTAAGTATTTTCAATGGCAACAACTACAACTTCAATTTCAGCTACTACTTCATTTTCTTCATCTATTGGTGGTGAAGATTATGGCATTCTTGCTAGAAAAGTGCCAATGAACGTAAGTATGGGAAGGCCAGTGAGATCAAGGCCAATGATGGGGAATGTTAATGCAGGGAAAGGAATATTTGCTCCTATTGTTGTTGTCACTAGGAATATTGTTGGCAAGAAACGTTTCAATCAGCTTAGGGGCAAAGCTATTGCTTTACACTCTCAGGTACTAACCATTTACTAGCAGATTTTTTTTAATTTCAAATAATGGTAGTGTCGACATCGGGAACGTTGGAGCAATAGTAAAGTTGTTCCGTGACACCTATAGATTATGATTTCAAACTGTAGAATCGGCCACTGATACTTGCATCATGAATCAGGATAGGCTGCCTATATCACATTCCATGGGATGCTGTCCACTTTCCCGAATCTCGCGTGAATTCGGGATACTTCATGCACAGGGTTGTCCTTTAGTGTCGAGTTTGCGCCAGACTATTTCATTAGATACTTATTTCCTCAAACCAACATATATACCGAATAACTCGATTTGCTCGCTAGATGGACGATATAAATTACATTTTTTTGTCTCTGCTCAAATTTTTTAATATCAATTTCCTGTTGTTTTGCACTCACTTCATTGACCACAGGGCGCATCATTGAGTGCACTATCTAACTGCATGCTTTTAGTTGATGTCCTTTTTCTCTCTCCCTATATTCTTATATCTAAGTAGTGGCAGAATTTGGGTAGATCTAGTTTTTGCAATAGTCTTTCTTAATTTGATGGTATTGAATACTCTAATAATGTTCTAATTTGGAAATAAAGTCAGCAATATATCACAGTTGTTTGGTAAAAGAAATGATCAAATGTAAACTAATTTCAAGATTTAAAGACAACTACGTGTTATTTTCAAATTGAGAACTAAATCTTTAGTTTTGTCTATTTATGGTTCAGATTTAAAAGTTTCAAATCCTTAAAATTTTATAGTATCTGTTCGTATGAATTTTAAACAAGGGTTGAAACAAAGTGAGTTTTCAGATTGCCAATGGATATCAATTCTACTTCTTGCACCAAAGAGGCTTTGGTTCTCAAAATTCTAATATTATTCTAAACAAGTAGGTTATGTTTTTTAATCTTGAATTTGACTAAATGTCCTGTAACATCGAACTTGATCAATTTATCTTTTAAAGTAAACTTGTAATAGAATATTTACAAGAGAATTACTTTAAAATGATAACAAAATAAAACATATTTAAAAGATTTTATCGAGGACAGTTTGTAATTGGATGTTCCAAGATAAATGTAGTATTTCAGTCTCCAAAAGAATAACCGAGAGGCCAAGAGGTCACACTTCGAACATCGATGCTACAATTTTGTCCAAGATATATAATACTAAAAATGAATTTGTGTATGGTATTTTTCTTGAGCCGATGGTCTACTAGAAACAATATCTTTATTTCCACAAGGTAGGGGTAAGGTTTGCCTACACATTACTCTTCCCAAATCTCACATAGTGGAAATATACTGGGTCAGGTGCGGATGCACATTTGATGAAGTGGTGTCACGTGACACCGCTTCGTCGGAAAACTTCAGTAAATATATATATATATTAATAGTGAGAAAATGGATAAATAAGAAAAAATGACACCACTTGACATAAATTGTCTCTTGACACGTTGGTTATGTGCTTGGATTTGTTTTAGGAGGTCAAAGATTTGAACCTCAACTAGCACTTTCTTTTTGCAAATATTTGAGAGTCTATGTGGTTAAAAAGTGATTAAGTAGATTTGGTCTCACGACCTTTTCTAACTTAAGACTCAACAAAATCAATAGACTAAGACTATTTCTTGTCCAAAAGTATAATAATTAAAGTTATTATTCATGTTGTTCTATAAATTTCGACACCGCTTATAAAAATTTTCGCATACGCCCCTGTACTAGGCATGTTGTCATTGTCGTCGTCGTTGTTGTTGTTGATGAACTGTGTATGGTATTTGATTTTCAGGTAATCACAGAGTTCTGCAAATCAATAGGAGCAGATCAGAAACAAAGGCAAGGATTGATCCGACTAGCAAAGAAGAATGGTGAAAGACTTGGATTTCTTGCTTGATATCAGCTTTATATATTATATGTATGGTGTCCCATACCATGGCCACGGGAAATGTTTTTATGATCAAATAGCTTAGCTATAGCTTTGTGTACTTGAAACAACTCAATGTTGATACAACTTAGTTATCTGTACTATTCAAACATATGCATTCTAGTCTAGGTATGCCTTCTTGTTTTCAACACTTGGATTGTATCCATATTCATCGTATATATTAACCTTTTTGAAGAATAACCAAGTACAGCATATATTTTCGAAAAGAAAAACATCTTCTTCAGGAAAAGAAATGGTGATAATGGTTGTGTTTGTTACGGAGGAAAATGTTTTCTTTGGAAAATAAGTGATTTTCTTAATAGTTTTTTGGTGTTTGATTAGGTAGTAGAAAATATTTTTGAAAAATATATAATATAGGTAAACACTATATTAGACGAAATGGGTAAGGGCGAGGAGGGTGGTAGGTCGGGGTCTATAGGGGCCGAAGTGATGGTGACGATGCTAGGGGGGAGGGGTGGCGGTGGCGGCAGCGGGGACAGGTAAGGGGGTGGGTGAGGGTTGGGAGGTGGGGCTAGGGTGGGAGTAGGGGTGGGTGGGTAAGGGTGCAGAATAGAGCGGGGAAGGTTGAGAAAGAGTTATGAAAAATATTTTTGCTCCTTTGGTAGGGAAGTTAATTTCCTCCAATCGGAAGAAAATGAGTTCATGAGGAAATATTTTCTAAAATATCTAAGCCAAGCAAACATAGGAAATGTCTTGTGCACGGGGAGACATGGAATCTCTGTCTCCCCTATGTTAAGTGGGAGGTTCAGCATACGCGAATCAAGCTATTTAATTTTCGGTGTTAATTCAAACACAAATTCTTCAAGTTTTTTAAAATGACATTTCCATATTCAAGAACCTTACATGGAGTACTAAAAGTCACATTTATAAATTATTCAAAATATGTACAAGAAATTTGAAAAAATAAAATAAATTACAGACTCTATTTGAGAGTCCGTGACGTTTGAGTTGTAACTATTGTGTTGTATGATAAAGTGCAACAAATTTTGGTAGCAACTTAAAAGTACTTTTAAGTTTTAGCTAGTAATAGCCTCACTAAAGCAGTTCATTTTGCTACTATCATTTTTCTAAGATGATTTTCAACCTCTTAGACAGTGAACTATATTTAAACCGTTTTTTCTTCTTCTTTTCATTACAATAAGTAAGCTACATATCAAATTAGTTATCAATGGACTAAACTTTTTGACAGAAGAGAAGTCCCTTGGCTTTGAGGAATGAAAACTGCAAAACTCTCATCGGTAAATTAATACATGGGGCAGACTCCAGATAAGTAACAAAGAACCAAACAAAATCTTTAACACAATACATCCAAAGATCCATATCAAGTACGAATAAATTTAAAAAGAAAATAAAAATTTTGCAGCAGACAAGCGCAAAACTGTGCTAATCGTACAATTTTCAGTATTGGAAACCTAGGGACCGGTGTCAATCCCACACGATAAAGGAATTCACACAGTATATCGGCTCTTAGCTGACCTTTCCCTTTTAGAGTCATCCTGCAACGACCAAACGATAGGTTGATAACGAGAGAAAAAATTAACAGGAGGAAAGATAAAAGACACTTGACTTTGCAATAATGGTAAGCGGCAAGGAAAGTTACATGGAAACTATAGGATATTTTTTCAGCATCGATGATCTCCTTCCACTTCCTACCAATGCTCATCTGCAGCATAAAACCAACCGGTTATATATAATTGCAAAACCACAATGCATCAAGTGTAGCATCATGCCAAAAAACAAAGGTTAAGAATGAAGATTGTTGATATCCAGACATGTTACATGTGTTAAAAGCAGGAAAACACACGCAGCCACACAACAATAAACAAAAAAGGAAACCTAGTGGAGCAGGCAATGGAATTTAAATTGAACCTTGTGTATTGCAATACTGTAAGATGAACATGTCTAATATAAGCTTTTAGTATAATATGGAATAGTGCTTAACGAATGAAATACAAGAACTTGTGTCTAAGACTCCAAGCTGCATATTCAGAGGGAGAAAGATACATTTTCCAGCATCTTTAATACACACAGAAGGTGTATTAAACAAGACCAACCAGAATTAGGTACACAACTTTACTGGTTCAGCTGCGCCACAGCATTAGAACTGTACTGCTGTGGTATATGTATCATCTAATGACACTGTAAATGAATGAAACTGCTAGGTGAGATTGAAGAAATACTATTTCAGTTTAGATGTTTCTTTGTCTTTTTATTTGTATAATAGGCCTATTGCACTTTACCACCCTGACGAGTTTTTAAACATTTTAAGAGGCAATGTGAAAACTTTGCAAGGAAAAGAAAAAAGAGAAAAATCACTAATTCATCAAGGCAAAGATAAGAGAAATGGTTTATGTCCCAGGTACAGTATTAGGTTATGTGTCCTTTGTCCTTTTTCAGTTAGTTCTTTCTAGTGTACACGTCTCCATTTGAAATCCCTCTACCCACCCCCAAGCTTAAAAAAAACTAAAATGTTAAAAAGGTGAAATGGAGCCTTGGAGCAACAGTAAAGTTGTTTCCATCACACGCACTAGTGTTGCGGCTCTTCACCGGATCTTGTGTAAACATGGGATGCATCATGCACCGAGTTGTCCTTTTTTCTAAAACAAATGTTAAAAGGTCGTTGTAACATTATCAATTCATTATACAGTTCAAGTCAGAAAGGTTAAAAGATTGCAAAGTACAACCTTAAAGTCCAGATAGCATATTTCCATTTTCCCAAATCCATAATCATTAATTAATTAAATTGGAGACAAAGACATATTGGGTGGGTAGGTGTGTTGTCTGTGTGT